CCTATGAATAATTTTGGAATTATGAAGGAATATTAACTACATATTAGAAAAAAAATCTCAAAACCTTGAAACTCTAAAGCCTTTAAAGGACCCTTACTGATTTCTTCAAAATGTGCTTTTAACAAACTTGTGATTTTTAATATTTTTACAAAAATGCAAGTCATATAAATTAATATTTTCAGAGATATTTGCAGATCAGATAGTTATATGCATTAAACAAATTATTTTCTATCTAGGCGAGGCCCTTTTTCGTACAATTTATCAAAAAATTTCAATAGGAAAACTTATTCAAAATTCAAATTTATTTGCATGTTCCAAATTGGGGGGCAATTAGTCTACTTTTTATTAGAAATTCTTTAGAAGTAAAATTTATACCTACTACTGTTTCAATATTTTGTGGTAGTCTGTTTTAATTTTACCATGCACGGATTTATCGAATCAAAAAATATCTGTTATGTTCAAATTTGATATATAGTCGTAAGTTTTAATTGTGTATTTTTTATGAGAAAGACTACCTATACAGAAAATACAGGGCGTACTTAATTTAGGATTTTTTTACCCTTTAATTTTTGTGACTAGTGTATTTCACTTTCATCTCAGATTTTGTTGCGGAATATTTATTTGATTTTTTAATTTATTTTAAAATGTGAGATCATTTTCGAGAAATAAAAAAGTTACGGGCTGTTTGCAATTTAAAAAATCACGTGACTTAAAACGTGACCTAACAAAGTCCCATCCACATCTTTTCAACCGTTGGAAATTATCGAAAAACTAACTCTGGCGTTCCTCTAGCATTTCATCCGAAGATTCCAGCAAACCAAACCGCATTCTTCTAGGTCGAAAAATAAAAAAGTTACAAGCTGTTCGCTAATTTCAAAAATCACGAGACTTAAAATGTGACCTAACAAAGTCCTCTCCACATCTTTTCAACTGTTGAAAATATCGAAAAACTAACTCTGAAGTCCCTCTAGGATTTCGTCCTAAGATTCCAGCAAACCAAACCGCATCCTTCTAGATCAAGAAATAAAAAAGTTACGGGCTGTTCGCTAATTTCAAAAATCTGTTCACTAACAAAGCTCTCTCCATATCTTTTCTTAAAAATATCACTTTCTCTTTATTTACAAACGCAAAATACTTAAAAGACTTGAATGTGGGTGAGATATTACCTCCAAAGTGTGTTAAGATCGATGGCCGACTCTTAATTGTCATAGCTATTCAATGCCTATTACACTACATTTGCTACAAATGCAAAGTATATTATGTACTTTACGAAAGTAAAAGTCTTTAAAAATGGCTTTTTGGGTAAAAAAATATGTTTATAGAGATCTAAACAAGCAAGTGTAAGTGACAGGTACAGTTAAATTTTTTATTTACCTTTGACGTCATATCTATCAGCTTGAAACTTTTTTAGAACAAACGTATTTCTGTGAGTACCTACGACAAAAAAGAAAATGTACGAAAAAACGAAACGATTACGAGAATTCCCGAGAATTTTTTAGTCGTTGTATGCGTAAAGAAATTTTTGTTTATGCAGCTCGTAAACATAAACAGGGAGGCTCTATGCTTTTAAAGTTTTAAAAGTCAAAACTTTAAGTTTTATTTAAACAATGTCGTTACAGCGCCATCTGGTAAAAAAATCAAAAACTGACAGCTATTTAATTTTAATATCCAAGTGGGACGGTATTCATTGACTGAAATATTTTTATATCAACGCTGTATTACCATTTTAGCTAAATTATTGTCGTCTTAAATATCTGAATTATTGGATTTGGAGACTTCCTCATAATTTTCATTGAAAATAGCATTTTTCACAACAAAATCGCGATATCGCTTGTTTGCTACAAACGCCTACTATAAGACTAACTAATAGGCAACCAGATATGCAAGTATCACCACAACAGTGATTTTAAACGCTGAATTTATTTTTCTCTTGCAATGAGATTGTACGTGTGGCAAAAATAGGCAACACGTATGGTGCATAACTCAGGACTACCCTCGTAGAGAAATTGGAACTTTATCCACACTAGTTTGTTCGTCTGGTAGAAAATAAACAACGAAATAATTTGACGGTGATTTATTTCTACAAACAAGTCACTTTGATCCACATAAATTATATTTACAACCTTTCAATCACACTGCTTAAATAAGTGTACATATTTTATATACAGGGTGTCCCGATTTACAGGTGAACACGTTCAGTAAAATACGAATGAAGTCGGAGACTGTAACTTCCTCGAAACTGCAGATCCTCGGCCTGCCGCGATTTCTCCAGATCTGCCACCTAAAGAAATCGTAGCAGGCTCGACTTGCAACAAAATATTTGGTTTCCGTTCGTTCCTGTACACCTCCAAATCGTGCCACGCCGCACACGTACATACATGTATGTATATCTGTCAATATTATAAGCTCTGGGCCTGACGCGTCTCTCACGGCGAGATATTCCCAAGAATACAAGTAGACTCCGTGACCGGGAGACTTTATGGTACTTTTATGCAAACATATCAACAAATAACAATTCAACAACGGCTCCTACTTATATACAAGCGTTACAGAGTCAAACCGTACCCTTCCTAGAGTTATCACTTAAAAATAATTTAGTACGTTCTGGGACCTATAAAATTATGATTACAGGTTGAAGAATTATAAATTCGATCAGGCGCCCCACGCGCCGTCGCACGATCTCAAATTTCTTAGGTCCCGTCAGGCCTTTAACCGTCATTTTTAATATAAAAATCGACGACGCAGACCCGAACGGGTGAGGTTTTGAGGTTGTGACGTCACGCGGCACCTGAAATGTAATATCGGTTTTCACAAAAGACAAAATAATGGCTCTATAAATATATATAATTTTTAAGCACCATAATTTACATTTTAATTGAGCGACGATAATTTATGCATCCACCACTTTACGAATTAGAAAATGTTTCGAGGTATCTTATCTGGAAACATTTCCAAAATTGTAATTCATGGTTTTCATCGACAGACGGTCCGTCGTGATGTAATCGTTTCACAACAGTGATGCAATATTTAAAATGTTACATATTTCGGGTGTTGCAACCACTACAATCAACATAATGGCGTAAATAAATTTTAAGAAATAATAGCTCCTCCTGATACTGAACCGTTTATGTTACTTACCTCGACGTTATTTTGCAGCAATTAAAGAAATACTACTGCATATACGTTTTTTTTTCGATAGATGTATTCCAATAAATTCAATATAATACTTTTCGTTTGCTGTAAAAAATTGCATGAATTTCACTGAAAAACATATTTAATGCCACGCATTTACCAAGTTTCGAGTTCAACACAAAGTTTGATATTTGAACTTGAAATTTTTAGTGTAAAATCGAAATTTCAAATGAGGTTAAAATTTTGAGATGTTTCCAAATTGTAAAATCAAAATTCAAAATTTCAAGCTTAAACCTAAAATTTTGGGTTTGAATTTCGTGTTAAAAATTCAAGATTAAACCCAAAGCATTGCGTTTCATTTGAGATGCTTTTTTTCATTCGGCAAATTTCAAGTTGAAACTAGAACTTCAATTTTGTGTTGAAGTTTTGAGTTGGAACTCAAAATTTCATATTTCAGCTTCAAATTTCAAGTTTGAACTTGAATTTTGAGTTAGAAATCAGAATTTTCTGCTTGAACATGAAATTTCGAGTTCGATTTCAAAATTTCTCATAAGAACTGGGAATTTCGAGTTTGTTATTTTCCATGTTTTTCTTTAAAAAATAAATTTCGAGGTTACATTTCAAAATTGAAACTGAAACTCAACGTTGAATCTCAAAATTTCATATTTCGGCTTCAAATTTCAAGTTTGAGGTTGTATTTTGAGTTGGAAATCAGAATTTTCTGCTTGAACATGAAATTTCGAGTTCGATTTCAAAATATGTCATAAGAACTGGGAATTTCGAGTTTAACGTTATATTTCCCATATGTTTTTCTTTAAAAAATTAATTTCGAGGTTACATTTCAAATTTGAAACTGAAACTCAACGTTGAATCTGAAAATTTCATATTTCATCTTCAAATTTCAAGTTTGTACTTGAATTTTGAGTTGGAAATAAGAATTTTCTGCTTGCACCTGAAATTTGGAGTTCGATTTCAAAATTTCTCACAAGAGCTAGGAATTTCGAGTTTAATGTTATATTTTCCAGATGCTTTTCTTGAAAAAATAAATTTCGAGGTTACATTTCAAAATTGAAACAAATTCCAAGTTTGAACTTGAATTTTGAGTTGGAAATCAGAATTTTCTGCTTGAACCTGAAATTTCTACTTTAATTTTTACATTTTCCTAATGCTTTTCTTGAAAAAATAAATTTCGAGGGTACATTTCAAAATTGAAACTGATACTCAACGTTCAATCTGAAAATTTAATATTTCAGCTTCAAATTTCAAGTTTGTACTTGAATTTTGAGTTGAAAATCAGAATTTTCTGCTTGCACCTGAAATTTCGAGTTCGATTTTAAAATTTCTCACAAGAACTTGGAATTTTGAGTTAATGTTACATTTTTCAGATGCTTTTCTTGAAAAAATAAATTTCAAGGTTACATTTCAAAATTGAATTGAAACTCAACGTTGAATCTGAAAATTTCATAATTTAGCTTCAAATTTCAAGTTTGTACTTGAATTTTGAGCTGGAAATCAGAATTTTCTGCTTGCACCTGAAATTTCGAGTTCGATTTCAAAATTTCTCACAAGAGCTAGGAATTTCGAGTTAAATGTTATATTTTCCAGATGCTTTTCTTGAAAAAATGAATTTCGAGGTTACATTTCAAAATTGAAACTGAAACTCAACGTTGAAACTGAACATATTTGAACTTGAAATATTGATTCAATTCTTTATTTGCCAAATTTTGGGCTAGAAATCGAGTTTTCAAACAAAATAAGAAATGTCAAATTGAAATTTTGAATTTAAATGAGAAATTTCAGATTTAAATTTGAAGTTTGTGTTAAAATTTCAAGTTAAAACTGAAAATTTCACATTTGAATTTGCCGATATTACGAATTCGAGATATTTTTCTTTATAGACAAAATTTCGAGGACAAATTCTAAATTTCAAGCTCAAACCAGAATTTTGAGTTGAAATTTGAATTTTCTCTGGAAATTTTAAATTTGAACATGAAATTTTGGAGTCTCCATTTTATTTTCATTTACCAAATATCGAGCTCGAATTCAATATTTCAAGCTTAAAACAGAAATTTCTAGTTTAAATTTAAATTTTGTATGAAATTTCGGTATATAATTAAAAATTTCATACTTATAGTTGAAATTTTGAGTTTGTTCTTACTGTTTTGAGATATTTTTACTATTATACGAAATTTTAAGCACAAATCGACATTTCAAGGTCAAATAAAAAATTTCAACTTGAAGTCAGGTTTGAATGCGAATTTAATGACGAATTTCCCGTTTAAAATGCAGTTTCGACAAACAAACGGAACGGAATCAGTAGCGATGAGCTATTACCTTCCAATTTATGTACGACACTCACAATTTCTTTCCCACAGGAAAATCACATTTCAAAAAGTATCCCCACATAAATTTCTGAACGAAACCTGCTTATATCACATACAAAGTAAAACCTTCATCGAATCACAGCGAGTGAAGCGGGGGGAGCCCCGCAACCGCATACCTAGCATACCCAACAACGTGATGTAAAAAAATAATTTTCCCGATTACAAAAATTTATATTTGTCCGCTACGGACCAACAACCGTTACTCTACATATGTACACATTCCCGATATCACAACTCGACGACGTCGAATCCGGTCGGCGCGGTTTCGATGTACCCGAACCCTCCCACCCGAGAAATAAAGCGCGTCCAGCTGATCTGTTTGCGTAAAGTGACCATCGCGATCAACGACGAGCAGCATTCACCACCTTTGATAACAACAACACGAATATAGACCACAGTACCTTGCCCGCCGGGTAGCGTTAACATCCATAATATATAAATTTTAACATAATAATAATAATAATAATAATAAACTTATCGCCTAGTAATAAAACTGTATGTATACTCTATAATTACATAATATTACAGCTGTTAGTTAGTCCATCACCACGGTTAAGCTACACGTACTACAAGTTAACGGCGGCGCGGTTCGCCGCCCACACGCTCTCTCACATCGTCGCAAGCTTGGCCTAATCTAGGATGCCCTTGAATCCCTCGGGAGCACATCTCATGGAATGTGTGTCGTCGTAAAGTAAAAAAAAAAAAACCTCAAATCAACGTAACATAAATAAAAACAACGAAAAATCCACACGGAGCAGGGTGCTGTGGCCGGGTCTCTCTCTTAGCTTATTACAAAAATATGATGCGGCCTCGCCGCCCTTGCTCTTTGTACTTCATAAAAGGCATCGAAATGTCAAAACGACTACTATGAGATTTCCATTAACCTATGTACAGTGTAAGCCGGTATTGCACACGGATATGGTAACGAGAGGGGGGGGGCGGACGGCCGTTATTTCCGCTTGGCGTGCAGCATCTCCATGAGGAGGGTCTGGGTGGGGGCGCTGCCGCTGCAGTGCTTGTGGTAGAGGTGCTCCTCGCCGCGCACCGCCAGGCTGTGGATCTCCGGCAGGAGCTGTTGCATCTTGTTGAACTTTTCCTGCAACCGACAAGGTCCCTCGGTTATACTAAGCGGTACATACCATTGACGTCGGTTATAACTAAGGCGGCCAACCGTCGTTTCGGTCTTAGCGACAACCTTGTCAAAATTCAAATAAAAGATATTCAAAATAAAATTTAAAGAATAATAAATGAAAACTATAAATTCGTAAATGACCAAAATTAACTGTAGAATTTAAATTCACAAAAAGAAATAATTCTGTTGAAATTTAAATAAAAGATAATAAAAATAAAATTTTAAAAGTAATACCTAAAAGAAAACTATAAATTCATAAATGACAAACAAACTGTCGAATAATATAAAAAGGCTACAAATTCACAAATACAAAAAGAAATAACTGTCAAAATTCAAATAAATGGTCTTCAAAATATTTAAAGAATAATAAATGAAAACTATAAATTCATAAATGACAAACATACATTAACTGTCGAATTTAAAATGAGATATGTCATATAAGAAAAAATAAAATAAAAAATAATATAAAAAGGCTAGAAATTCAAAAAATGAACTAACTTCATCAAAATTTAAATAAAATATAGTTTAAATAAAACAACAAAGTAAATACAATAAAAAAGATTTAAAAAACTATAAAGTCAAATGACAAGATAAATCTTTTTCTCTTTTTACTTGATTGGAACGTTTGCTATACCGCCAGGTTAAACGGGACTTGAAGAAAGTCGCCACAATTTAGAACGTCCCACGAAAATGCAGACAGTTGGCAGCCCTAGTTATAACGACCCTCAAAACACGTTTGTTACAAAAGAGGTAATAATAAATAAAGAGATCAAATTAAATGTTTTCAAAATACAGGGTGTCCCGGAATAACGTCTATATCGGAAGACCACAGACTCAAAATAGGCAGATTTAGGCTAATCCACATATATCCAAAAACGCTTCGTTTGGCCGTTAGATGGCCTTGAAGCTTGTGAAAATTTTTTGAATTTTGTTAATAACTCGAATACATGTATTATTTGATTTTGATTATTTTTGGAGTGTGGACATTTGCTTTCAATCTACAAATTTTGGTGTTGGTGGTGTTTGGTGAATTAGTTTGCCTATTTCGAGTCCACGAATCTGTGGTCTTCCGTTGTGGACGTTATTCTGGGACACCCTGTATATAAAGTAGGGAGCTTCGTTTGAAACGTACTTTTTTTCGCACCATTGACCAAATATTGTTCAAAACATTGGAAAAAAATTTTCACCAAATTTCGGCTCTTCATTTTAATTCTAAATACTCATTATATGATTTAAAATGTTTCCTCTTCATTTAACAAGTAAATCGAAGGTTTTTTTAAATTATCTCTATTTCGGCCGTATTTCACGCTATTTTATTGTCCATAGGAAATACTTATAGGGGAATCTTTGTTCTTTGAAAGTGCCCATAGTATAATCTATGCGACTTGAACGGTTTCACTGCTAAGACATCTTAAAGTCAATTTTTATTGATTTTAGGTTTTACGTTCTAGGTTACGATTCTACGTTTACGTTTAAATGATTAGGAAAAATTTTAAATCAAATGGCGAGTACTTAAAATTAAAATTAAGAGCTGAAATTTGGTTTTGAACAATATTTCGTCAATGGAACAAAAAAAATGTAATTTTTCAAACGACGTACGCTAATATACAGCAACTTCACATAATTTTAAACCATGTCTAATCTTAAAGTGTGAATTTATTAGTTGCCACTAAAGAAACCGTTTGTTTCCCAAAAATCGTAAACGGGTTATTTCATTTTAGTACAATACTAAACACAAACCATTACTTTTATTTGAATCAATGAAGGGAATGTATGTTTATGTTTAAAACATTGCCAAGACAGAAAAAAAGATAATTTAATTAAAAAAAAAATCAAATAACTCAATAAATGAAACGTAATTACCTGTATTTGAGGGTAACATGACACCGTATATTCGAGTAGAGCTTGCTGTACCTGTTCGAAGCCTTCTTGGACATGCTTTCTGTTTGTGATGCCTCGGACATCTAAAATTTAAGAAACGTTAGCTTGCGGGTCAATAACGGCAAATAACATACGGTTTGTTTTGTTAATTGAGAACCGAGACGCTTTGTAAGTTAGGTTAGGTTACGTGTTGGATCTCACTGAAATATTATTCACTTACCTGGATTTAGCAACAACAGGAATTTAATACAGATGTAATCGCTGACGTCGAACTTCAACTCCTGCAGCTTGGCGGTGATATCGTTGAAGTGGTCCGCCAGGCTGGGTACGCCGAGAAGGCCCAAACTCAGCAGGTCGAACTTCTGTCCGTTGTGTAGGGTGGTCTCGTCGGGCAGGTTATTGTGCATACGCTGGTGTATGTGATCCAGAACCAACATGTCCGACCACGAGTGCTGGAGAAGCTTCATCTGATCGTCCACCTAGAAACCGATAGAAAGTTTTATTAACCGAGCGCAATCGTTCGGTCGCAGGACATACTGTACACACGACGTCACAGCTTGGGGATGACGATTCCAATGTCTGTGGAACAGAAACAAGGGAAGCTGTAGAAAATCATGATTTTTTGTCTAACGATAAGGAATTAGAAAAGTTGTTTGCGGTTTTTTGGTTTTGGTATTCCTCTAGTAATTACGTACAAACATTATGTTCCTACATAACATTTGCATTAGCAAAAATATTATCGATGATATCCAAATTTACCAAACAGGAAAATCAGGTGCTAAATTTTGAGAAATTGCACAAGCAATTCTTGTATCAAAAACCTCAAGATATTCGTTTATTGGAACTATCTTGTTTTTTTCTTGATTTAATGCCAAAAAAACTCACTCTAGGTCTAGCACAATACTGTAGAATGACATGTTTTAGATTTCAAACAAAAAAAATGTTAAAACAATTCTTACCGTTTTACAAAATAAAGCTAAACAAACATAACCTCATAATTTATTAGGATTTAAATCATTTTGTGTTTCATTGGTATGTTTTGAAATTACTGACTGTTTTTTTAATTGTTTTTATATTTGTTAACATCTGTTAGAACTTTTTGTGTGTGGTAAATATACCTATTTAAGGCTTTTTTTAATAATGGATAATGAAAAGTGAATTTCAATTACCCACCTTCATATTTTCATAGCAGTTATAATATAATGAGATTGTCCCTTTACTACGAGCACATATTACTTACGAGTGCTTCAAGTACCTACAAAATTTTCCTTGAAATGTAAAGGAGAAAAGTCTTGAATACTATCATTAACGAACTGTTTACTAAGTTTTCCATTTTTACAAAAATAATTCACTTTAAATAAAGAAAATACCACAATCTTCTACAAAATTAGTGGGTTTGTTTACATTTTACCTGCTTTCATTAAGTTAGGTACAAAAATTTCCGCTAGAGGTCGGGACGCTTGGTTTGAATTGTGATAATGAAAAATATGTGACCTTCATTTGGCTTCTTATTTGTTGTTATTAATGATCTGGACACCTATGCACCAAAGAAATAAATAAATGTTTACTGTCTCTGTTTTCAATTTGATAACAATTATTTATAATTGTTCCGCCACTCGGCTGTTCCCTCCAATTCTCCCCTCCATTTTCTGATTTTTTGAGGGAGTGGGGAGGGGAGACGCTTGTTTCTTGTTTCGTCAGAATATAAAATTAGGTTAGGTCAGACGGTTAGAGTAGTGTAAACAAACGTGAGAAAATTAGTGCGAATTGTCTAAATTAAATTGCTTAAACAAGTACAATATCAAACCATAGTTTTTCTGAACCAATCAGTGCCCCATAATTACCCTGTCTGCTAGGACAGACCAGAAAGGGAAGGTGCCACGAACACATTCAAACATTGGTCCCTCTAGAATTCTAGTTCTAGATTCGCGGGATTAGCAGCAAATATTGCACAGCCACAGCAGACAGGCGTGTAACTGCAGGACGTCAAGCAAAGCGGTAACCACGAGGCTGAGAATCTCTCGACATCAAATTTAAAGCAGCGAGTTGGTCACAAAGTCAGTCCCTTCCTTTTGTCCTTTTCCAACCCATACATATCAGCTATAAGCTCCTCGCTTATTCAGAACAGTTTTTGTTTGTTTACATTTAACAGTTGTTATACGAATGAAATACGTTTCAGGCACGCGGTAGACTGCAATCACGAATTATTTTGTGCGACCGATAAGTACTAGTTTAGACAGTAGTTAGTAGTTATTAATTGCGTATGATGAATGAGAAAAAGAAAGATATATTGACGTTTGTTGTGCACTTAAATTGTAAACACACATTTCCCGCGTTCTGTGCTGTCACAGATGGGTTTTCTACGAGTTCTGTGGAATTGGTGACAGAATTTAAAATGATTTGGAGATCTCGAAAGAGCTAGCTGAAACGCATTTTGAATAATATTCATTTAACATATGAAGTTCTATACTCTCTTAAAACTAAATCGAAACGGTTCTGGGTTCAAGGCCCTTAAACCCTCTATCCAATGATCCCCAAGACCTTGAGGCTTTGACTCATAATTAGAGAAAATCGAAATTTTAACACCCTGTATCTTTTTAACTAAGCGCCCTAGATTAAAATTTTATACAGTTGACTCCCCTTAAAATTCACTAAAGAATACGAGGTTCATTTTAGGTCACCGTAGTGGCGTGTGTGATATGTTTTATGACTTCAAAACCTACACTTCTCCCATCTCGAGAGTAAAAAAATGTTTCTTTTATAAAGAATGCTTTGAAAACAAAACATCCACCACATTGCCACTGTAAAAATTAAAATAATTAAAAATGCAATTTTCACAAGAGCAAAATATGCCTCCAACTTATCAGTTAATCAATTTGAGGAATATCCGGCTTTGTTTCATGTGAAAACTGCGTTTTTAATTATCTGGATTTTGATGCTGACCATAAAAATTTAACAGAACTGTGAAAATTTCGTTAGTCAATCAAGATTCGGCTCGAAAAACGTGCATACCACTCTGTAGGTACACAAATACAAACGCAACAACGACAAACTATTTAGAAGCGTTTGTTGAAATGAAATAATAAAGAGTGACTCATCGCTCTGTTCAACAAAGTTAGATCGCACCGGACTTACTGAACTTGGCCCAAATTTGCAATTCGTTTTCACTTTCGATTATTTGCTCATTTTACATAATCTTACTACACACAGCGCTCGGCTCTCGCTCCAATCGTAGTGCCGTCTTTGTCGCCGTCACGCAACGCGAAACAAGTTTTAAAATATTCATTTTGTTTGACACAGTTATTTTATATTTACCAAACGACGCCGATTCCATTCTGGATATCTGGGTTGCTGCGTGACGAAACTACGTCTAACGTCAAGTGAAACACGGAAATTCGGATGGAGAAGAATATTTTTTTTAAATAGATTACAGACAAAAACGTTAACTAATAAAACTAATCCTACTTCTGTTACGGCTGCTAGACTTTAGAGTCAAATGTCACCCCACAAATGACGTCATAAACAGGGCACAGGGCACCTTGGTTTACGGAATCCAACTTAAGCTATTTATTCTTAAGAAAAGTTGGTAACCCGTAAACAATTCCTATATTATGTATGTGTGAAACCCGTCAGAGGATGAAGAAAACGGTAAGAACCACTGAACGCTGACCAAAGAGTAATGTTATGCGTCTGCGTGTGGGAAAAACTGAGCGCTCCAGGGAGCAGGGTAATTAAGAGGTGTGCGGTGCGATGTGCATGAGATAGACACGTATAAATAATTGAATTGTTGCAAATATTATCACTGTTTGAAGTTTTTTTTTTAATTAGCATTGCAGCTAAGTGAGGTCAAATATCCCCTTTTTTTCTGCAGCGTTGATACAGGGTGTCTAACCACGAACTCCACGATGGAAATGTGGGAAAGGATTTTTTTTGAAGTTGTGGTTGTGTGATACATAACAATAGATACAAATATGTTTTAATGCCAATCTAGGACGCAATGAGTGATTGAGCCGGGAAACTCCAGCTGTGATTTATGACGGAATCAAACTTTTTGACGTGTTCTCAACATTTTTTTTTCGAGTTGTACCTATTGTACCTAGCGAGTAGGGACGCCGCACTATGTATATTTTTTTTTTGTTTGTACAAAAATCAAATATCTTGACTCAGAGAGTAGATAAAAATATGAGCCTGGTTGCAAATGGAAGCTGAATGGATGTAGAATATGGGAAAAATATGACTGAGACGATTTTTTTCTATATGACCTTCGAATGACTAGGCAAAGTCTATGCAACCCAAAAATTTTATGGATTTTTCTAATTATATCGGTCCTAATTCTCTTAAAATTTATTCCAATGCACACGATTTTGCACAATTTGGCATGGCAATTCCAAATCTGGCGTCAAAAATTTTGGTTATACCCATCAATTGTATAGATTGTATCTATCAATTTTGAATTTTTTTTCGTCGTTATTAAAAAAAAAATTATCTATAAGTCACTGCTTACCTTCTACAGTGTGCTTATTTGACATTTGTAAAATAAAAAACAGAAACCCAGGTTGATAATTAATCTTTAATTTGTGAATAATTTTCTTGCTTAACAGTGTCAAAAAGCAGTTTGAAAATAATACCGACTTTGGAGAGACTTTGCTAGCGTTAGAAATATGATAGAAAATTTTTGACGCCAGATTTGCAATTTCCGTGCCAAATTGTGCAAAATCGTGTGCATTGGAATAAATTTTAAGAGAATTAGGACCGATATAATTAGAAAAATCCATAAAATTTTTGGGTTGCATAGACTTTGCCTAGTAATTCGAAGGTCATATAGAAAAAAATCGTCTCACTCATATTTTTCCCATATTCTACATCCATTCAGCTTCCATTTGCAACCAGGCTCATATTTTGATCTACTCTCCGAGTCAAGATATTTGATTTTTGTACAAACAAAAAAAAATTATACATAGTGCGCCGCTGCCAGTGCAACAATGGTTTCAATTAAACCAGTCGAGCAAGCATTTCGATCCTTCCACGCAGGAGGCCTTGCTCATTCTCATTTCTCATTAATAAATGGGAAAGCATATTTAATGTGTAATGCGTTTTTTTTTTCATAGGGAAGAGCCTTCGAAGCGTCATGCCTTGAATATGTAGTGTACTCTCGAGGTTGATTTAATGAAATAAGCGCATTAATAAGTATGTATTCCGCTTCTGCGGTTTTATGGTGTATAATTTTCTTGCCCCGTCGAAGTAATACCGACAACCCTAGTTTATATCGTGTCCCAAAATAAAAACTGCTCGCGATTAGAACTTTTTTTAAGTAAAATCAAAGACAATTAACTAAAAACTCATAAAACTTCATATAGAAAATCCTCCAGGACATCTTGAGATAACTAGCGTAGGTCAATACTACCAGTTCTAAGGGAATGGCTAAAAAAAAACCAAAGAAGGCTCTGTTCAGCCTGCTGAAACGCTGGAAGGCTATTTTTTACCTTTCGCATTACATCCTTAACCGTGCGTTCCACAAATACGGGCGATTACGTAAAAAATATCGCAAAAACCTATCGGACGGATCTAACTATCCGGATCTGTCGTGCAACGGTAGCCAGTCGAAAAAACACACGCCTTTGCCAGTAATATGTGCTGTGTCACGTTATATATGGCTACCAACTTCCATCGACAGAAAACCCTGCCCCTGCCTGCGGCACAAAACTCAAATCTGCAGCGCGTCACATCCAGGCGGCGTCGCCAGATTTACGAATCTTCCCGCATCCTCAGGAAATAAGTTTAGTGCATTTAATTCATTGATGTAAAATATATGACATGCAATTATTGTATTAGAGCAGTTACTTGTATTTGCTAGTAGAGTTCTCGCCCTTATTCATGTGAAAACTGCATTTTTAGTTGTCAATGAAAAACTTAACTGAACTGTCAAAGTTTCAAAGCACTCCTTATCAAAATGGAAAATTTAATATAGGTACCGGCACATCGTCGTAATCAGAAAAATGCTGTTCTTTAACTGTTACACAAATTTGTAGTCACTTGTAGCAACCTATTACATGTTTTTCATTTATTTTTCAAACTTGCAAAACGGTTTTAGCACAAAAATTCAAACGCTGGCAACAAAATTAGCATAAAATTATCAGGTACGTAAGAACCCTTTTCCATTGAAGGGGTTTTACGGAAATCCCCGGCTGCTTTCCAAATCCGGCAACGCCGCGGCGGGCGCAGCGATACCCACAAATGTACGGTAATAACAGCATAGCGGCGCCGCGATAATAAAATTAAATAACAACAACAATCGAAAGCAAAATCGGAACCGCCACAAAGCGAACTTTCTCCGCAGCCTGCTGTTCGGAACACTCTCCATTTTCGCCATGGAATCTGCTCGGGCAGGGGCTTTCGTAACAGTTGCGCCGTACTTGACCCACTAGCAATGGCCTACTTGATTGATGGGGATCCGCCGCTGCACGGTCACTAGATGCGAGAGTGTAATGTGCGACACACATTACGTGCGTTAATGTATAAAAGTTGACGTTGTTATTGTACCCCGCCGTCGATACGCATTTGTTTATTTCTTAAGACACCCAGTTGATGTTTGTTGTCCGAGAACAGGGATCACTGGGATGTAAACAGACGCCGCCATGTTGTAAAGAAGCAGACTGATGATGTGGCGAAAAATTAATTATCGTACTGATATTTGGATTATACAGACAATTCCAGAAAATCTTGCAATGTATTCCAGTGAGAAAATCTTTTATATTTTTGGATTCGTCTTCAAAATAGTGGATAAAACTTATATGAGGTTATACCTCATCCATAGTGCAGTAGCGCTGGTGTATAACATTGGGGGAATATACAAAGGCTATTTTGGATTAAAATGGTCCCGTTGTGGGAGAAGCTTTGAGGTGGGAAGGTTAAGGCCCGAAACGGGGTTCTCGAAATAGTTCGCCAAAATAAACCTAGCACCTATTTTCGTGTTGTCGACTTTACAACAGCGGCCAGCAGCGGGCACGGCATCTGCGCGTTGTTTGTTTAAATGCACTCGATTCGGTAAAGTCGAATTGCTCAATTACCAGCTAGCGTTCGAGTCGGTTTGCTATCTGGGTCGTCGGTTGCATACTATTCGATTAATTCTTCAACTAATCCACGTTCTTAATTCGATCGCCTCCACGGTCGGTATTTTTTTCGCCTCTGCTCCGCGTTAATTTCCAATTTCAAAATGATATGAAAAAAAAAAGGTTTGTTTTGTAACGAGCGCTTTATCGCTGCTCGTTCTTGGCACAAATAACGAAATCTGCATGGTATTTTATTTAAATTGTAGGTAAGCTGTTGTAACGGTTGGTAAGTGGGACAAATGGCCGCCCCACCGCGGGCCCCCACGCCAGCGGCGCGCCGTCGGGGTATAAAATATACGGTGCGGATCACTGCGGTACAGGTATTGGGTTCGTCCTTACCGAACGGGAATTAAAATTGACGGAAATCGGGAACTAGAGAAGCGAGCAAACCTTAAAATTAAGAAAATTATTAGTATCAGGGCTCAATATTTGTACGATATCGTTGAATGGGGTCAAAGAAATAAGAAGCATCAAGGGCGAAAGAGGGACCAAACATATACAACAACTAGGGCAAAAAAATTAACATTTCTCGTTAGAGGGAGAGAAAAAAAATATCCCGATAACTAACACGTTAATAAGAAATACAATTTTCGAAAAAGGTGAAATAAAAAACAAATAATAACTGCCAGTGCTTCGCAAATCGTCAACGTTTCAATTAGCAGTATCACTCGCTATTGACGGTTCGAAGCCACAAGGAAATACATTTTTTTTTTACAGTTTGTCACAGCCTGGCGAAGTCAACGTTAAAGGCAGTTCCAGGGCGCGGTTGACCTTCGCGGAAATGTTACTCAATTGGCCTGCTTGTCATTAAGAAATGATATATTTGTGAATAAGGTGGTACCATTACTCCTTCCTTAGTACCGGCGAGAAACATTGCGAAATCTAGCACAAGGGATTAAAATTAATGTCTTGTGATTATATTCTGACACGTGCCAGAGTGATTTGTTTACAGTTAGTTGTGATACTAGGCTGTGAAGTATAGCTTTTTCGGTTTAAGTTTCCAACAAAATATTTCCACAGTGTTACCGACGGCGACGTTGGGAACCGAACAGTTCCCGTAGCATTCGGTCCAACGTAACCTGTGTCATAAGGTTTCTTAAATCTATGCGAACTGCGGAATACAAACCTTGAGATCCTTGAAGAATATCGAGTTCCTCGCCCAGTCGACCTGCGAGAACAGATTCTGGTCCAGCACTTTGCACATGAGTTCGAATAGGTCCACTTCACACTGATTGTACGTCTGGCTCTGCAAGAGTCCGTAGAGGGAGTTCTGCCACTCGCGGTCGTCGATAGCCTGCACAAAGTCCCTGATCAGGGGCGACACTTTACTAGAGTGAGGTACACTACTGCCGGGTACTACAGTCTCGAATTGGAACACTTTGGGGCTAAGCGAATGGGGCGAGGTGGTGGTGGAGTTGGCCTGGCCCCACAGCTTGTTGTCGGGGCCCATGACCATGGAGGTGGGCGCGCCTCCCGGCACCCCGACTATCTGAAGGGCGGGCTGCTGGTTGGAGGCGGGCTGCACCAGGTTGGAGTTGACCTGGCCGAGCGCCACGGCGATGGGGCTGGGCGAGGAGTCCGGCGAGGACGTCAGGGATGACACCTGGGGGATCTGGATCTCCTGCTTGATGTGGATGTTGAAGGGCGACGTGCCCGGCTGGGTGTTGTACATGTCGTTGCCCAGGGAGCCTCGCAGGGTTTGGGCGGCCAGCTGACGCTGCCGCATCATCTGCAGCTTTCTCGCCCTGTCTCGCTTGTACATGGGTCCGAATTTGTTTCGTCCGCCCCTCATTCTGTCGGCCCGTACAGCTGAAAAAAGGAAATGGATAAGTTGGAGGACATTTACAATCGATAGAACATTAAACACAATACAAATCGATATTACTGATCGCACTAAATGACGTTACGAGATGCGTTCTTGATCACGTGACAAATATTAAATGTTAAAAGAAACTATTTTTTCCACTACTGAACGTTATAGACCTCAAATTTATGCAATTTTCATGCTGACGTGAAAAAAAAGGAAATTTACACTTTTGATCATTTTTTGTCGGACAGCGGGAGAATGAACGCAATGTGACAGCTGCCGAGATATTTCGATCCATCGCAGTTAATTCAGAAACTATTCTGGAGAAGTGAATTTAACATCACATCCTTTTTCCACTTTACACCCTTATAGCCGTAGAGTTGCACTAATCTGGGCGCCAAAAAACCGGATGTTAGGCTCGTAAACACTAGTTATTACAGGCTAATGTTTTTACACAAGGTATATTTATGTGTCTCGGGCCTTTATATATTTACTCTGCGTGATCCTGAAATAACTTCGGCGCATTCTGCACCATGCCATCAGTTTAGGCGTTCCCTAATCTGACATGTCTCCTCTCAGACCAAGAAACTCATATAATTTCAACTGCTGTTGGTGGGCGATAAACGCGACAGTCCTCGTTATAAGGTAATACATGTTAAATGCACATTAAAAGATCCTAAATTGTTGGGCATCTCGCGCGAACCGAGATAGTTCCTTGACGAAAACGAGAAAGTTCAAATGCGAGCCCCACACAATCTTAATCTCGATTTCACCTGGTGAATTATGGAAAAATAAACAAATTATTACGGAAAGCCGTCGCAAAACGGTGGATATGCAACCGGGACTGTCTCAATATTATACAACGGTACGTTTGCCGTGCAATGAAACAAAAGTAAATTTCTCTTTGGGAGTTTCGAGGTGCTGTTAAATTTGCCGGTTAGGAAACGCGTTTTGACTAAAATCTCTATATGTTATTTCGAGCAGCCTATTAACATATCAAGTTGGGTCTTTCTTCTTTAATTAAAAGCGTACATTTTCGATCGATTTCGGTTTGTTGACTGCTTGCAACGGAACGATTGGGGGAGATACACTTCGAAATAAACAACCGGCCAGCGAGCGCGGCCTTGAAGGAAGTCTCTCCTACTATAATTAGCACAATCAACTCGCGTGCACGGTCCTCTCTTTGTAATTTCTGTGTTATATTGCTGCACAACTATCAGGGATGTCCAACGTATCCCTACCGCGAACCGAGAATAAAGAAGAGGAAGTCGCATAGTAATAACAACGCATGGACCGGAAGTTCTGACGTCCACAGAATTTTCTAGTCGGGAATTAACTCCCCGTGATACGAAACACTGGCCGATTTTTTTTTTTTTAATCAAATCGAGACGTTTTTACAACAAAAAATAAAAATTTGATGTAAATATTCCCCGAGAGACACCGTCGTTAAGAACGTGAAAATTTTTACGCCACTAAATGTTCTGTAAATTCAAAGTTATTTCAAACCTGAAATATCTCCTCCGTTTCCTTCGAAAAATAAGATTTTTTTTTCTTTCTCAGTCCAGGGAACCAAGGGTTTCCCCTGCGAATTCTTTCGGATAGGACCGATTGACGTGAAACTTGGACTGTAAGTAGAAAATAGTTCAAAAAACAAAAGTTATACAGGGTGGTCCGAATTTTATGCAGGAAACTTCGAGGGCAGGTAGACCTCTTTAAAATAATATGTGTTTGCCTTATAAACATAGGTCTGGAACGGCCTCGTTTTAGAGATACAGGGTGTTGAAGTTGTCAAAAAAATTGATTTTTTGTTTATATCTCCGGAATCTATTAACCGATCTCAATAAAATTTGGTACATATAATGTATGATAGTAGGCCCTATATTCCCTGAAATATGAGCTTTAAAGGTTCAACCAGTGGTGTACAACTGGACAGGGGTCACCCCCTTTTTTACAAAAAAATCTACGCCACTGCATTTTAACATGTCATTGTAACTGATTTATATTTTAATGCACAAAATACGTAAAAAAGGTGACTAATTTTTTCCCCTAAGATTTGCCGTTCTCAAGTTATTCATACCAATACAATCCCCTTGTGGCAGACACTTCTAACGATAATATTACAAGAATATTTGTTTATGTTTAAAAGTAAGTGCATTTTGTAAGCACATCAACAAAATTATTTACACTCCTTTCTACACCACCTGTGAGAAAGTGAGCGATATAAACAAAAAATCATTTTTTTTTAAACCTCAACACCCTGTATCTCTAAAACGGGGCCGTTCCAGACCTATGTTTATAAGATTTTAAAGAGATCCATCTACCCTCGAAGTTTCCTGCATAAAATTCGGACCACCCTGTATAGTGCCGATGAGCGCTTAAGCCCAGGGGGTGGAAGCCCTTCTACAGGGTGAAAAATAAAAAATTTGAAAATAACTCCGTGAATCGATAAAGCAATCAATTTTAAGCAAAAAGTATCTTATACATATTTTTCGATAAGTCAATATTGGTGATTGAAAAAAATGTACTTTTTTTATTAAAAAAAGACGTCTTACAGTAGTTTTTTTTCAAATAACTGGGAAAAGAGGCATTTTATGAAAAAAAATTACGAAGAAAATGAATCTTATAGAAAAAGAAAAAAGATTTAATTATTTTCATTTACATGGGTGCAATAGGTGCTGAGATACGGCTGGTTGGAGATAATTTCATATTTAGACCAGGAAAATTGACGAAAAAAAAGAGAAACTCGAAAAAAATCCCTATCCGCGATATTGTAAAATTGTCTAAAGGAACATAATACAAGACATCTCTGATCTCGTGAGTCAAAATCTTTTATTAGCTAACTTTTCCATTTAAACAAATAAGTGAGGAAAACAGTTTTTTCACTTTGCAGGGAAAACCATCAATTTTAGCGAAAAGTGACTCTCGGACAGCTTGTAGGGAATAAAATTATCTACAAAATGAGACTTGTTAAATTAAACTCGGTTAATAAACAGAACAGTTATTGCAAAAAAAACAAGAAAAGTGCCCATTTTTTAATTTGTTTATAACTATCGCATTTATTGTTAAAATTTTATAAAACCTATGACAAGTTGAGGGTTTGTAATACTTCAAAAGTGCGCCAAAAGGGGGCGCTGTAGGTGCAATAGTTTTCGCACAATTCTATTTGTTTATAGCAGAGGCTCCAAAAGTTATGAACTTTAAGCCTCTGTACAGACGTTAATTTTCAATCAAACATGATTCTGAAAGCGTTATTATAATATTAAAGACGTAATTAAGCGACCTATTAAAAAATACCAGCGTTTTTTTGACATTAACATTCTCAAATTGTGCATTAAAAAACCGTGCGTTTTTCGCTTATAAACAATTTGAATAACATTGTTGCTATTTATGCTATCTCACAGAAAATAGATGCAATGGATAGCTGGCAAAAAAAATACAGTTTTAAAATTAAAAAAGTACCCTCTACGACCAACATGAGCCGAGATAAGAATTTTTTTTAAAATCGTAGCGCAATTGTTTATAAACACTAAGACTTGAATTTTTCGCAAAATAAAGTTTACGACGTAAACTACGATTTCCCGTGAATTGCATTGAAAAATGTGGAAAATTAAGATATGATTTTAGGGTGAAATAAGCTTAATTCCAAATTTTCATAAAAATCTGATCTACCCGAAAGTATTCGGAGGTTTTACCCTATTTTTCTCTTCGTTCCCTGGACCATCCCGTGTCTTTCCGTTCAGCGGAACCATCTCAAGGTCGAAGCCACAGACGCATTAAACCATCCCCATAAACCCCGTCGTTGTTCATCCGCACAACGCGGCATCTGTCCTAGATTCGCACCACCCGTCTAACACCTGTCGCCGTCGTCGTTATCGGGGCCCTACCTGCGTACCTTGGGGTGGACGTTGGGCGGCAGGGCCGCTTCCTCTTGGCGCTGGCCGCGCCGCATATTCCGCCGATCAACTTTCGCTGACCTTGAGCCGCGTTGCATAACTAGCATCGGCTATCGGCACAAAGAAGTTCCATTGAGGGTTATTAATAGAACTGCATCGGCCGGATCAGTGCGCTGGTGCTCCGCGGTCGTATGAACGTTTCTGGAGGTACTAACGAGGCGCATACAATTGAGGGTATCGTGTAATGGACGCATGTCGATTAGAAAATGGAGATTATCGGCTTGTTTGGTACTGTCAGGTATACGGGTGTCAAGAAACACGCATTAATCTAAATCATGTTTACTAGATGACTGAAACTGGTCGTAGAGCAATAAAAAAGTAAATTGAAGCTTGAAGGTACTAAAAGATCTCTTCAGAATCATAAGAAACCCAGAGAAAAAAAAATTAAAAATTTTTATTACCCTTTCTAAAGGTCCGCTGGCCTCAACATTTTTTTTTGACAATCCCACATGTCGGCTCTTTTAATTTATCCTCTTTAATATTTGTATGCAAAGCAAAAATGACCTTTTTGGCTTTGATAATTAATTATTTAGTCCAGGCGAGAGAACAGTAAAAGTAGGCTTTGACGTTTGTCTTTGAAGTCGTCTAGTTTCTTGTACAGAAAAATCCCAAATATCATGTAGAATAAGAATCCGAGTTTGCCTATTCCAAAAAAAAAAAAAACATTTCTAAATTCAGGGGAACCACAAACATAAACAAAAAGAAAGGAAAAGACCCGTTTTTCGACATGTTTTTCCCTGTAACATTAAAAGTAAGCCCTAAATCGAAAATCGAAAGTTATTCTTCATTTTTTGTTTATTTGACGATTTTCTATAAAGTGGCAACTGCAAATCAAAAAAGTTGAATTCTGCATTAACAATGGACGAAAAATAGTAGAAAATCATCCGTATGTTTGGAGAAATTTTTAGAATAAGTAAATATTTATAAATATTGATGAAACTTTGTGAATATATGGTAAAGCATATATCAATTCTGCCCTAAAAATTTTGCAACGATTGATCGCGTGGTTTTCGATTGACAGGCTTGTTAATTAAGAAAATTTCAAAAAG